ATGACAGTTACTGTATTGCAATTACCCAATTCTTTCTTCTCAGGGTATGTGCCAGTGTGGATTCCATAGTGGATGTCTGGCAAACAGTATCCCTTCAGGATAGTGGAAATGATGGGTTTCAGCTGCTTTGGTAGAATACTCCCTGCCCTCCCAAACTTGGCAACTGACCTATTAACTAAGTTCAAAGCATGGTGTTGGACAAATGTCCATGATGCTGCCTCTCAGATCTCTGATACTGGCACACTTAGGAAAAAAGGCAGACATCACCACTTGAGCATTGATGAATAGGTTTAAACATCTGGTACCACAGTTGACTGGTAATACAAAAATGCACTGGTAATACAAAAAATTCCACTCATCATAGACAGACATCATTATGGATCATAATAAGTGTACTAAAAATCCACTGGAATAAAAAGAATCTAACCATCTCAATTTCAAAAACTAATTCCATTTATCATTTTTAATTACTTTACCTTGTAATGAAAGTTTTCATCTTCAAATTTTTCTCCATATATACTTTCTCCACCTGTGCCATTTTGATTTGAGAAGTCTCCACCCTGGATCATGAATTTCTTAATAACTAATAAGTAGAAAATAGGTTACAAGAGATGGTGTCAAGATAAGAACAGCATTAAACAGAATTACTTTCAATGATGAAGATCAACTCCACTTCATCAACATGAGCCTTAATTATTCTATTATTTGAGAGAGAATCTCCTAAACACTGGGGCTGTGTCTACATTGGTGTGATCTTGTGCAAAAGCAGGCGCTTTTGCGCCAAAACTTGCTGCCTATCTACACTGGCCGTGAATTCTTGTGCAAGAACACTGACATTCTAATGTATTAAATCAGTGCTTCTTGCGCAAGAACTATGATGCGCCCACTCAGGAATAAGCCCTCTTGTGCAACTGTTCTTGTGCAAGAGGCCAGTGTAGACAGGCAACATGAATTTCTTGTGCAAGAAAGCCCTATGGTTAAAATGGCCATAAGCGCTTTCTTGCGCAAGAGAGCGTCTACACTGGCATGGATGCTCTTGTGCAAAAGCACATCTATTGCACAAAGGCACGTCAGCGTAGACGCTCTCTTCTGGAAGAGTTTTTGCACAAGAACTCTTCCGCAAAAGAGTTCTTACGCAAAATCACTCCAGTGTAGATGTAGCCTTACTGTAGCTTAATATAGCAAGAGTAAAATGGTTAATACTCCCTCAAATGACTCACTGGGAAAATAATTCTGTAACAGCCATAATAAGTTAAATATTCTTAGTAATAAAAATATATAGGAGGATGTAGGTGCAAATTACCATTTTTAAGCATCAAAAGTACTTTCTATTCCAAACTCTTGCAGCTCAACTGGAAAACTATTTAATTTTTTTAAAATCACGCTCAGTAAAATAGTTTAAATGAATAATTTGTCTGCAGATGTCAAATTCGAACAGTATCACCTAAGTGAAGGAACAGTGCTCAGGGTGTCAAAAGGCCAACTTTCTATTCCAGACTATCTCTGATTGTGTGACCTTAGGTGAGCTGCTAGACTTCCCTGAGCCTCAATTTCTCCATCTGTAAAATGGGTAAAGCACTATTATTCCACTTTCATAAAACACTTAAGAGATTCTTGTATGATGGTTAAAAATAAAATATATGCATTTTTTAAAACCTATTCCTGAGGATAAGAATCACCAATTGTTTTAGAGAAATAGACTATTAAAGCTTTGGAAAGTACATCTCAACATAGGAAGAGAAGTCTGCAATTACAACAAACAAAGCTGGACATTTTAAAAAAATATCTTATTAATTATTTTTTATATTTATTGTAATGCAGTTTCATAGAAGGGAGCCTACCCTACCGCACTGACTACAGGTTGTTCTGGCAAAGCATAACATTCACACACAAAACCCAGGATTTAGTCAACAAATGACTGTCCTTTTTAGTAACCTCAACTACCAGTTGTTGTGGAGAAGAACACTAGTAAGCAGCAGCAAAGAAAATTCCTTGCTTCTACTGGACCTCATCCAAAGCCCAGTGAAGTTAATGGAAAGATAACCAATGGAGTACTACACCACTGGATCAAGCATACTACCCACTATTGACATTTAGTCTACAAAAATATCATCAGGGTAGATAGAAGATAAAATAAAGAGGAATAGATAATTCATTCCCACTATTCTCTAATCCATTGCTTTTTAAAGGAAAACTTCTGTATTAAATCAAAAGACCTAATGGCTGTGTCTAGACTGGCAAGTTTTTCCGCAAAAAACTTGCCAGCTGTCTACACTGGCCGCTTGAATTTCCACAAGAACACTGACAATCTCATGAAAGAAATCAGTGCTTCTTGTGGAAATACTATGCTGCTCCCGTTCGGGCAAAAGTCCTTTTGCACAAAAGGGCCAGTATAGACAGCTCAGATTTGTTTTGCACAAAAAAGCCCCGATCGCAAAAATGGCCATCGGGGCTTTTTGTGCAAAAGCACATCTAGATTGGCACAGATGCTTTTCCGCAAAAAGTGCTTTTCCGTTAAAAGCTTTTCCGTTAAAAGCATTTGCGGAACATCATGCCACTCTAGACGTAGCCATTGAGTTTAGAAATAAACTATTTTATGCTAACTCACTTCTAATATATTTTGACTGTAGCTTGACACTCTCTTTCTCCCTTTCAGAATTGCTAACCCAAAAGAATTTAAATATTGAAAGTCCAAGAAACCTCTTCCTGAGTTCCATAAAATCCAGATCAGCCCATACCTTAAATCGGTTGTGGGGAACCTTTTTTGGATCAGGGGCCAGTGACTCTCAGGAAAATTAGTCGAGGGCAACACACAAGTGAGAAGCAAAAAAAAAAAAAAAAAAAAAAAAAAAAACAAAAGACACACAAAACACAAAAGTGAGAAGCCCCTGACTGAGAAGGATAAAGACCCTCCCCACATTCCTCTTGCACACCAGGCCTAGTGAGGCCCAAGCGAGTAGATTTTGTGTGCTCCAGCACTGCAGGGAGACAGCAGAGAGCTGGAGTACCAGTGCAGGCTCCTCAGTGCCTGGGAAAGGGAGGGGAGGTGGGGGGGGGGGTGCAGGAGGACTGAGCCTCAGGGGCCAAATCCAGGTAGGCTTTAGGTTCCCCACCCCTGCCTCAAGAGCATTGTTAGAAATCCATACACATACCTACTACCACAATATTGAAATCAAACTGGTTTCAAAATACTCTGTCAGCTGTCAATATTATGCAACTTAAATACTGGAAAAAATATAAAAAATAAAGGTGATTCAAACTTACTTCTGTGGAAATGACATCCTTTGTAATGAAGAGGTTTTCCAGTTGTAGGCCCTATCCCTTTTTCTCCTGTACATAGTGCACGGAAATTTTCAGCAGTTTTGGGCACAACATCTGCAAACAACTCTAAGACAATTCGACCAACTGAAATATGAGAGAGTGCACAAACATTTCAGACCAATCCTAAAAAAAAATAAGGACTCAAAGGATTAAAACTATACCACATCTGTGCAGCATGTATTCTTGATAGAACTGTGTGTGAAAATAAAGTTGTATTTCCATTGAAAATTTCAACTTTTTTTTCATTGTCATTTTTCATGGAAGATAACTACTTTTGTTGAAATATCAAAACTGAAATATTTTGGCTAAAAGCCAGGGTGGTCATATAGGATTGATTTTTAGCAGCTCATTTTTAAACAAATCTCTTCCACCAAAAGTGAACACTATTTGTGGGAAAAAAAATTATCAAACCCCTTTCCACTGAAAAATGGTATAGATGGAAATTTTCTATTCTCCACATTTAGACTTCAATCCCACAGAAATGTACATGCAATAGCATCTTTATGTATATAATCAATGAGTGGGAACTACAGTTTCCCTTTAAAACACATCTAGTCTTAGATGCAACAAATGTTTTCACTTAAAAATAAGAGAAACCTCAACTGGTAAATAAATCCATAGAGCATTAATCTAACTTTATAAAGCTGCCTTCTCACAATGATTTTCCACTCCCGGCAGCTGCTAGCTGTCAATGATGCTGCTGTTCTCTCCTCAATCTGACAGTCAATTAGACAACTCCCAAGTAAGGCAATCTTTAATATAATTTTGCTGTATTGAAAGCTAAGTATATGAACAATAAATCTAATAATGAAGTGAAAGTAAATTAAAATATTTGAAACTTTAATTCACTATGTTAATTTTAGCGTTTCTTAAAGAATTGCTTGTTTTTACCCTCTGTTTTATTCTCAATAGTACCATTAAATATACTCTGGCAATATGGAAATGTCTATCTTTACTAGGGATATAAAAATGAAAAAAAATTAACCGTGTAACAGATAAAAAAAATCATTTAACCACTCCGGGGCTGCCAGCTCTCAGAGCTCTAAGTCTATGTGTACACTTAAGACAAAGGACCACATCCAGGTACAATTTTTACCCCCGTCTGTGCCTCTCTAGTTCCATGCCTCCCACAGTGGCCGTGATTCCAAAGGGAGCAGCAGGGAAAGCCTCCAGGTGAGTGGTGCTGCTGCTCCAGCCCCATGGGGAGACTGCAAGCCTCAACATCCTCCCACCTCATGTGGCTGGAGTGCAAGTGCAGGCTCCCACTTAAGCCCCTGCATGACCAGAACTACCTGGTGTGAGGGGGGGGGTGGAAGTAGCTCTGTGCACTGCTGTTCTCCTTCCTCACTGGCTGAGGAGTGCAAGGAGATGCTTGCCCCATTGTTCCCACTGGCTGGGAATCATGGCCAAAGGGAGCAGCACACTGTGGCTTTCTGTTCCCCCACAGGAGCTGCAGCAGATAAGCACCCAATGTCTTGCCCTCTCCTACAACCCAGTCCCCTCCTGCAGCCTACCTTCTGCACAGACTCCACACTCCACCCTCCTCCTGCACCCTAACTCCCACCCAGACCCTGCACCCCCAGTCAACTCTAGGGATGTTAAATTGTGATCAATCAGCTAATCAAGTAATCATTGGAATTTCCATCAACCACTCAAATAGTTGGGGGAGGGGGGCATTCGCTACCCCAGCTGCAGCTCTTACTATGTTTAAAAGGCAGAGCTGCAGCGTCCCAGAGCAGGTGCAAACCGGAACTAACCCTGCTGTGTCTCTGCCTTTTAAATGTAGTAAGAACCTCCCAACTGCTGCAGCTCTTCCTTTTAAATTAGTAAGAGCCTGGTGCATCTCTGCCTCCTGCACTGCAAAGATGGTGATAGAGGGAAACTGGATTTTAAGACAGCTCCCCCTAACAACAGCTCCTGCTTCCCCCCACTTACTGCCTCTGATATAGAAGCAGCAAAGGAGGGTGGGGGAGAATGTGAATGTTCAACTCAACTATTCAACTACTTTTACATCCCTAGTCCACTCCTGAACCATAACTCAGACCCTGACTCCTGCTCAGACTCCACAACCCCACCTTGCTCCCTGGCAGCCCATGTCCCACATACCAGAAAGGAATGTGAATAGGGTGATGTTTACTGGTTATGGGTATCCAGCAGGAGCTGAGGCAGCCCCTCACCTGCCATGGGTGAGGGGATGCTCCCCCACCAGGACTGGAGTGCATTCATGCCCCGCAGCAGTAGCCCCTGCCCACAGCAGGCCCAGCATGCCTGGACAGAGCAGCCCCCTACAATGGCTCCAGCCTGGTTAACTGATTAAACAGGATACTGCATCCCTAATATTGAACCCCTCATTTTTGGCCTGACCCCAGAGCCTGACCTAAATGAATGGTACAGTGTTTGCAGGTAAGTGAATGTTAACACCAGTGAATATGGCAAGCTGGTAGGTTTTGCCACTTGAAAAGAGTAAACAGCATGGATGTTAGACAGACAGCATGCACCTGAACAGTTGTGTAACCTCATCAAATTTTAATGGTTACACGACTATTCGATAGTACCAGAGACAGCAGCAGCCAATATGCCCCACTCCTAGGGAGCTCCCTGAAACTGAGTGGCAGGTGGGAGCCAGTTTGCAAGAGGAAGTAAATAAAAAAAAACGGTTCCCTGTGCAGATCGGCTCTCACCTGCTGCCGCTGTCCGCAGGGGCCCGAGCATCCCACAAAGCAGCCTCTATCCACCGAGGTTCCGCAGAGCCAGCACACACAGAGAACTGGCTTAAAAGCCATCTCCCCTTGCATATTGGCTCCTGCCTGCACAACCCTTCGTCCCCCTGCACTGCTGCCTCTGATAGAAGGGTAGCAGCATGGAAAGGAATGGAGAGGGCAGACGGCTCCATGGGAGTCAAAGTGTGTGTTCCCTACATGTACCAGCTCTCGCCTGCTTCCTCTCACCCTCCACACTGCTGACTCTCTATCAGAGTTGGCAGTACGGAGTGGAGGTGAAGGTGGCTCTATGGGATCCAGTGCTTATGGGGAGCTGGCTCACAGGCACCGGCTCCTGCCTTCCACCTTGCAGGGGGGAGGGTGCATATTGTCAACAGGATTAACCAATAAGCCCAGGCATATCGGTCAATTGTCTAGTCAGCTACATGTTGACATCTCTTGTAAAAAGATCACTGTATTCCTCTCAATGCTGCAGCACGCATGGGTTTGGGAAAGTTTAGGACTAGATGCATGAAGTATCACATCAGCCAAGCACAGTAAAGAAAAAGTAGTCTGTGATCATGGCTGGTGAGCTGCTGGATTAGATGTGGCTGACACAGAGATGTACACAACCTAAGTGCCAGCTGGCCGCCTGCATTGCCCAGGCTCCATCTATACTAGAGTTAGGCGGACATAACTACAGGCTTGCTCCCGCCAATTAAAGTGCCCTACTCCACTGACTAGTAACTCCTCCCTCACAGGAGACATAGGGCTTATGTCCCTGCTGTTAGAGTAACACACAAATTTGGCTGTCTACACTGGCGGGTTGATGCGCCAGAGATATGCAAATGAGCCTAAGCGTGGAATATCGTGGAGCCTCATTTGCATACCTAATGAGCCGCCATTTTTGCAGAAGTGGCTCTTGCACTAGAATCAGAGCTGTCTACACCGCCCCTTCTTGCAGTGTAGACACAGCAAAATGTGTAGAGACGCTGTATTCCTTATAGTAGCGGTCTCTGGGAAACCTGAAACTGACAAGAAATCTGGCACCGGGCCCTTCCACTCCCAGGTCGGTGAGAAGCTCCGAGGGGCAGCTGAGAACACCAGCCCCTCCGCTTTTCAGGGAATGGGAGCGCTCCAGTGAGGGTGCGCTACAGAAGGTCAGGAGGAAGCTGATATACGCCACCAGCAG